GAGCCATCTGTCACCATAGCATCCACTTCCTTTCTTACTGTTAGCCATTAGATGCATTCTCTCTTTTCTCTCCCTAACTCACAAATAAGCAGGTCAACAGTCTAGGTGCACCTGTGGAGGGTTTCTGCATCAGCTGACCAGAAGTAAAAGAGATAATTCTCTATAATCTGGGTAGACTGGCTCTACCAGAGAGAGAGTAGACTACAAAGCCTTAAAAGCTAAACTGAGGCTTCTCTGAGGAAGAAGCCACTGTACCTCTGGGATGCCCTAGCCATACCAGTCTGAGGGCTTGTCCTGTGGATTTTGGACTCACCAATCCACAGTCACATAATTCAATTCCTTGAAATAAATCTCTTTATGTTCATGTGTGTATGCAGTGAGCTGTCTGCATCTGTGGAACTGATGTGGAATTCAACCAACCGTAGATTGAAAATATTTTTTTTAACTTTTAATTAATTTACTTAATGTGTATGGATGCTATACCTGCATGTATGTAAGTGCACCTGTGTTGTTCAATGCCTGCAGAGGTCAGAAGAGGGTGTCAGAGCTCCTGGAACTGGAGTTATGGATGGTTGTCAGCTGCCATGTGGGTGCTGGGATTCAAACTGGGGCAGCTAGTGCTCATAACTGTTGAGCCATCTCTCCAGCCCCCTGAAAATATTTTTAAAAAATTGAATCTTTACTGAGCTTGTACAAATTTTCATTCTTGCCTTTACTCCTTAAATAAGATGCATAATAATTTTTAAAATTATATTATTTGGTGTGTGTGTGTGTGTGTGTGTGCGCGCGTGTGCATGCGTGTATGGAGGTCAGTGGACAACTTGTAGGAGTTGATTTTCTTTTTCCATCATGTAGGACCTGGGATCAAATTCAGATTTGGTAGCAAATGCCTTTATCCACTGAGTCATCTCATCAGCCCAAATTATTACATAGTATTTGCACTGCATTAAGTATATTAAGTTACCCAGCAGTGTATGGGAAGATGTGTATAGGTTTTATGCAAATATCACACCATTTTATTTGAGGGACTTGAGTGTCCATGGACTTTAGTAAGGGGAGGGGATGTTCTATAATCAGTCCTGTATAGACACTGACGGACGTATGTATGTTTGACTCCTACTGCTTCTGAATCTAGCAGAATCCAGTCTGGTGTGTGCCCAAACCTTTACTTTTGCTTAAAGTGTGTGTCAGAGTGACTGAGCCCTCCATTTGCTTCTTGCATTTTCTCTTTCTCAGATGACTGCCTTGTCCCACTTCTACCCTCAGCCAGATGCAGCCACACACACGTATAAATGAATTGTGGTAAGTTCCAGATTTTAACTAGAGAAAAGTTGAGGCAAGAAGTTTTTAAATGAAAGGGGATTCCTTACCACTGTCTGGGCCTTCCTTACCCCAGAGTTTCTCAGAACATGGTACAAAATCCAGACTTTGAGCAGACAGTGTTCCTTGCTCTGTGTGAGTCTTCAGGACTCTCCTAACCCCCTGGGACTCTTCTTTGTATGTGTCTTGAGAATTTTGCCACAAAATGGAGGAAGCACTGATAGCTAATCTGTTAAGTGTTAAAACTGGGCTGGCCTCAGATTCCACTCTCCAAATCAGTGTGCTTGCTGGGTTCCATCCTGGTTCCGGGAATCACTTGTTATCACCATCAGCACTTGACTCTGCCTCTTCTGCCACTGTGGTTATTCATCATACATGTTATCATATAGGTTATTAGACAGTTTGGGTAGAACTGAGCTCATGAGTGAAGGTGAATATCAACGTATCCTAGTTGTGAAATGTCCAGCTTTGGGGAGAAGTGTGCAAGTTTGCCTCTGAAATGTGAGATTTCAGTTAACAAGGAATGGAGCTAAATGGAAATACCCAGTCACTATTTTCTTCCTCAAGATGTAGCTTTGTGGTAAAAACATAAGCTTTGAGGAATCTCTTTTAGAAATCCCAAACAAGTTAGAAAGAAATGTAGAAGTGAAGATATTCAAACTTTCTTCCCTTTTTTGTGTCCTACAGGGGAACAGGGAATGGTAAAAATAGTGTTTACCTAGCATCTGTGAGGCCCTGGGTTCCATATCCAGAAAAATATGAAATAAAACAAAACTACTTTGGGTGGCTCACCTTTTGAGTATTTTAAAAGTCAGCTGTAAAACAAAAAAAATCCAACTGTAGAAGACCCAGGTAGCATCGCAAGTGTACAGTGGTGCTATATTTGTATTCTTCGTAGTCTGGAGGCTAAAATGAATATTGACCTGGAGCCCTAGGCTGAGGGAGAGTCTATGGGTCACCTGACTAACTTTTACAACATTCCAGAGTCCACAGGCTGCAGGAACCCATAGGCAGGCTGAAGACAGCAGCTCTCCTGCCCCAAGCTTGCCAAACAAGAGGAAACAGGTGGAAAGGATGGGGTGATTCCATGTCAGATGGATGGTTTTCTTGATGGTCCTGGACATTACTGTGGGCTGTCTGTGTTTCTTTCCTCTTCAGGTGCCCCTCCCCCTGACAGCATTGTTTTGAGGAGCAAATGGAAGCCACAGACACTTTTCAGCCTTTGAATGAACTGAATAAATGACTTCGTTCTCCTGTGCAATCCAAATGCACATGTGTAAGATGATTAGAAAGAACAGGAAATGCAGTGAGGTTTCAGGGTACCCTCCCAGATCAACAAGCATCACGGCACCCAGTGTTGGAAAGACAAAGAGCAATGGGAACTCCTGAAACATGGTGCTGGCGCTGGAGGCAGTGAGCATGATTGCAATGCTCTGGAGAGTGGCTTACTATTGCCTAATAAAGCAGATAGAGCATGGTCTACTACAGGACCCAGCAACTCTTCTCAGATAAGCAGGGCTATGTTCTAGGACATTCTGTCACCTTGTGTGTAGGAGCTGCACACTAGCAACAACCCAGATGCTCATGAACCATGGCCTGCATATATATCAACAAAAATGGACAAACTATAGACACATACAAGACAGAGGCATCTTATTTATTTTTATTTTTGTGGTGCTGTGGATGAAACCCAGAGCCTTGTACATTAGGAAAGTGTGCCTCACCCGTATGTATCCCTGTGTGTATCTTAAAAATAATGATACTGAGAGACAGAAGCAAGTCACACAGAATGTATACCACGTGATTGCATCAGCTAGATTAGAAATGGGCAGAAAAGCAAAACTTGCTGCTGAAGAGCGTAAACATAAAGGACTAGTCTCCAAAGCCGAGACATGGTTATTACAGAAGTCAGGTGTCTATCTTCAGGAATAGAGATAGGATGTGGTGAAGACCTGTGCACTGGTGCCAGGGGCTTGCTTTATAATGGTTCTCTATGCAGTGTGTGTGTGTGTGTCCTGAACACATACAGTTTTTATGTGCTGATGTGTCATGTCCTGCCACCCCAGCTAGATGTTAAGTTGTTCTTTGAAGATGAGCTGCTCAGTCAGTTCAGACCTGGCTCATACTTGCCCTCCCAGGCTGGTGGGCTCTGTCTTCACATTGATTCTTTGACTCCATCCTCTCTAGCCCATCTCACCTTAAAGCAGTCTCATATGAACTGGAATGGTCCAAACGGGCACACCTGAGTGAGACTCCGTATGTGTATTTTTCAGAAGTAGAAATACAGTGGCAGTGGTTGTGAGGCATTGCAAATCTGCCTTCTCTTTGGACTCCTCTGTCTCTGGTTAATCCCGGAAGTGGGAGGTACCAGTTGGACTGGACAGCGGGGGTGCTCCTGCCTCTGGGTCCTCGACCCCAGGGTCACATGGAGGGCAGAGGATATCTTCCTGTGCATCAGAGGAGCAGGGTGACCCCTCAGATCCCTCCTTCAGAGGCTGATAGGGCTGCCCTCTTAAATAGGGTATCAGACAGCCTTTTCAAGGTAAACGTCTATAACCCAGAGTGAGGCTGGTGGGTTGCTTGTCTGAGCCTGTTCCTCTGGGGTGTGAGAACTGGGGCCTCCAGCTAAGGGCTGACTGGGGCCACCATAGCTTCTGATAGGGGCACAGTTAGTGGCCTTACAGGTGGCAGGCACTGGACCCTCATTGAAAGAAACTACTCAGGAAAGAAACCGAGAATGGCAGGTTTTACAAGAATGCCCCTAGTCCAGCCAAACAACAGAAAGTTGGGTTTCATCTTTCATCCCCCCTTCCCCCCGTTTCTCCTTTCAGCCCTCCCAAGAGTCAAGATGCCCAAGTTGTAGATGTCTCAGGGGTGTAGTGAACCAGCAGTGAGTGCCAGATCATATAGATATTTAAGGCCTGTGTCCAGAAAGCCTTGTACACAGATGGTCACTTGGATGTTTTTCTAAGCTCAGCACTTAACAATTTGCTTCTTGTTTGTCAGTTTACATTTGCAGGAAATTCTAGGGACCCACCTCAGTGAACAAACTCATTCTAAGCTGCATTTCATCAAAGAATGGCATTTCTTACAAACTCATTAAAAGCAGAACAAGGCCCAACTTGTAGGCAGGTGAAGCCTGAGAGTGACTTCCCATTCTTTGGGTCATTCAACTCATTCCCACCTCCTAAGCAAAAATCCAGAAAACCCTCTTGGCCCCTTTCTTCAGGTGCACTTTATCTTTGCTGTCTCCTGTCTCCAAAGATACAGGTGCATACTTTGTATGTGGGGACGGTGGAGCGGGGAAGGATGTAGACTGATTACAGTGTGGATATTTGACTGTTTCATAAAATGGTCTCTTTTCAAGATGCATGTGGGATAGCTAGGTTGTGAAAAATTCAATCAAAATGCTATTAGAGGGGCCAGGTGTGGTGGTGCACACTTTTAATCCCAACTCACAGGAAGTAGAGGCAGGCAGATCTCTTTGAGTTTGAGGACAGGCTGGTCTACAAAGTAAGTTCCAGACTGGGCTACATAGCGAGACCCTGTCTCCAAACAAACAAACAAACAAACAAAAAATTATAATAGTACACTGGAGAGTGATTGAGGGATGCTGCCTTAGTAACAGAATTGCCTTTCCAGAGAATTCATCTGTGTGCTGCTGCCTTCTCCCCATGCAGGAAGGAATAGTGTCTGCTAATGACCTGGACCTGGTCATGTCAGATGGGCTGGGTATGCGGTACGCATTCATCGGACCCTTGGAGACCATGCACCTCAATGCAGAAGGTATGTGTGGGACTGGGATGGAGTTATATACTGTTGAGTAAGCCCATGAGTTTTCTTACCTGCCAGCTTGTCTTTTCTTTTTTAAGCAGAGTAGAAGCACTAGCATCTAGAAGGGACTCTGAGCAGCCCTGCTAATTCACAGACAGGGCTGGGGCCTAGAGCGCTGTGCACTGAGATACAAGCCCACAAGGGGTCTGTGAGGTTCAGTAATCTGGATGGTAAGGCGCCCTTGGTGGAAACAAAAAGGAAGAGAAGGAAGTATTGATGGGGCCTTGCTGTGTAGCCTATTATGAGGTGGAAGAGGAAGGAGTAGCTTTCAGGAGGTGTTGAAATTATTTACAGTGGCAAGAAGAAAAAAAAAGATAAAGAGATATGAGTGCCAATGTAGCCCCCAGGAACTTCTGGAGTCATCTTCTGCCTACATGCTAGCACCTGTGGGTGCTTTGAGGCCAGGAACTGTAAGGCAGGAGTTTCCACAGGAAAGTTGGCAGGGTAGGGCAGACCAAACATCGGTCCTGAAGCTGACTTTGAAAGCCTGGGGGTAAGTCCATATTACCTGGTACTTCCATGAGAAACATAGCTTTCAAAGGATAAGAGCGAACCAGATTTTAAACAATCCAAAGAGGACCAACTGATGAAACCCATACCAAATTAAAACAAACCAATAAAACAATGTACTAAAACCTGAAAGATTCTGCCTAGATCCCAGGGCTATCTCCTACTGAAATAATAGTAATTGTTATTTGTGAACGGTCTTACTGTGCAGCCCAGGCTGGCCTCAAACACCTGATCCTCCTGCTGTATGCTGAGATCATAGGCATGCACCCCCATGGACACAATAGGAAATAGGGTTTTTGTTTTTTGTTTTTCTTTTGTTCCTTCTGTGTTGCTGGGAATCAAACCTAGGGCCTTATGCATGCTCGGCAAGCACCCCACCACTACAGCCCAAGCCCTTAAGTAACTTTTATTATCTTTTTACTGCTTTGTGTTGCCATAAACATACAAACACTATACATTACTTTAATGGAGTCATCATTAAGTAGAAAAACAGATGTAGAAAGAGAAAAGGAATATTATATGTAGCTCCACAGACTGCATTTCATAAGGGATGCTGAGAAACTGGGGAATCTCCGGCCCCGCTCAAAAGTGGACAGGTGTGTGTGTGTGTGTGTGTGTGTGTGTGTGTGTGTGTGTGTTTCCTTTTGTTTTGTTTTTGACCTGGCACCTACTACGTAGCCCAAACTGACCTCAAACTTGAAGCAATCCTCCTGCCTCAGCTTCTTTAGTGCTGGCACAGGGTGTACCACCACACTCTACTATGTTCCTGTCTTTTGTGGAGGTAAAACCAGAACAGAAGACTGGAAATGGCAGGCAGACAGGTTTTCCCTCTGTATATGACAGGAAGAACTTTCTAGTAACTGGTGCTGGTGACCCAGGAAGGGAGGAGTCATGCTGTGGGTGAATTGAGGGGTCATGGTTGGATGCTGAGAGGAAATTCCTGCCATGAGGTGGCAAGTTGGGGCTGGTAGCCTCTCAGAGTTGATTTCAGGTCTATAATTCCTCCTTTGTTAATAGTTCAGTCAGTTTTCATCACAGTAGTTAATCAACTCTGCTTTCCAACTCATGATTCAAGACAGTTTTACCAGACACAGTACTGCATACTACAGACACATGTATAATTTGTAGCGTGGACCCCCTATGCATGCCCTGCAAACACAGTGCAATAACTGGAGTCCCATTAAAGGAAACCCACTCCTGCTAAGAGGAGCTGACAGAAGGAAGGAGTCTGAGTAGTCAGTCTCCTGAGCCCCCCATGCTTTGCATGGGAGGGTAACCATTGAACACAGGAAGAAAATGTCAAGAAAGACGCCTTCACACCAGTGAAAGAAGTTTTGAAATATCACAAAAATGGTCTTGGATAATTTCAGATATCTTTTCAACCAGACCTTATGAGTGGTGAACATAGCCAAGCATTTGAAATGGACATAGACACTGCCTGATAACCACCATATTTTTCTTTCTTGAAAAAAATAAGACAGTTAAGGTATCATTAGAAATCAACAGGGAGAGAACTGAGAACAGAGAATCTCAAGCAAATAGAAACAGGAACCAGTGACACCAGACACTGAAGAATCAATGGGGTGGCAGACAGGATGGAGGCTGTAACAATTTTTCCAGCAAAGCTGATATGATAAGAAAGCTTAATTGACTTAATATGATAATGGGAGGCGGATGTAGTTTTCAACTTCAGAGCATTCCAGAGTCCAGAGGTAGAAAGTTATAAGATCTGGCTGGGAACCAATGGAAATGGTCCTTATTCTTCTTAGTGTCACCCAGAATATATGAAAATTGGAGTGGGAGGACGTTTTCTGGTGTGACTGAGATTATTTTCACAAAGCCAGCCATCTCGAGTTAAGGGGAGGTCTTAGTCTTAAAAGCTACCGTTTCCAAAGTGAGCACAAATGTTTTAGGATTTGTCTGTATATTTATTGATTGACTTTTGAAGCTTGGGGACAATTTTATTAGGGTTTTAGAGAAAAACACCACGCAGGCAAGCTGTAAATGTCAACAGCTATCAGGAGGAGGGCAATGGGTCTAAGAGAGCAGGCGCATTCAGCAACAGAGGCCAGCACACAGCTGCATGGCAGAAGGTAAAGGAAGCTTCAGAGAATGAGAAAGAATGTCCAGAGTGTCAGGGAAAGCATGCCCAGGCTTTGGCCAGAATCTGAAAGAAAGAGGTAGAAAGAAAAGAAAAAGTTACCTTGTTCTGAGTAACTTGGAGAGATGCCCAGGCCTCATGGCAGAGACTCCTTCAGTGATGGTATAGGGGCAGGTGGATTTGTTTATCATCTACTTAGATAGAAAAACAGTAGAGCAGGGTGCCTACTCTGCCTTCTTTATTTTTTAAAAGTGTCTTCTGTGAAGTACACAAGCTCAGAATAGTGATTCCAGACAACTGAGCCAGTTAGCTGGGTTCCAACCCTGGCTTACCATTTGTCAGTGGCATAGATAACCTTGGGTCAGCCACTGAATTCAGTGCACCTCAGTTTTCTCACCTGTTTATTGCAGATAACAGTAACCATCACCCGGGGGTGAGAGTACAAGAAACTTTATGGAAGCCATGGAAACTACATGGAAGATGACTGCATGGATAAATTACATCCTTGATAAATGACTTTATCATCTATCTATCTATCTATCTATCTATCATCTATCTATCTATCATCTATCTACCTATCTATCTATCATCTATCTATCATCTACCTATCTACCTATCAATCATCTATCATTTATTTATTTGGTTCTTTGGTGTACTGCTGGGCCTTGGAACCTAGAGCCTGGTGCATGCTAGGCAAGGCTTGAGCACTGAGCTGTAACTCCAGCCCTTTAAATGTCGTTTTTGTACAGTTTGTCTTGTTTAATTTATTGCTCTTCCATGGTTTTTGTTCTCCCCAAAAGATTCTCACAGGCCCGAGAGAGACATACAGAGTAAATACCAATGAGAACTTTTTTTTTTTTTTTTTTTTTTTTTTTTTTTTGGCTTTCTCTCTCGCTTCTGTGGGATAGAGGAAACGCTAGAGTCAGGCCTGGTTTGTTTCTTTGCTAAGAACTCCTGGCCCTACCTTGGCTCACTCTGTTTCTGTCTCTGTGGAATGACAGTATCTTAGAATCTGGCAACCCCAGGAATCCTCCTCTGGGTGAAATGGTTGTTTACTGGTTGTCTCACAGGTTTCCTCTCCTGTAGACACCTGTTTTGTGAGCAGGAAGCCTGATGAAGGGTTTGGTCCATCTGTGTGGGGCCGTCATTGCTGATGCAAACAACTGAGGTGAAAGGCAAGGGCCTGTTGGGGAAGCCCCTAGGAGGCTCTGTCTCCCTGATCCTGGGCATGCTCCTGCTCAGGTTTGGGAACTTTATGTTTGGAGGAGGCATTCAGAGGTCACTGTGTTTTCGGGCACTTTTGATCTCGTTAATAAATTCTGTGATACCTTATCTCGTAAATTAGGTGAATTAATGTAGGTGTGGGTTCATGATCGTGGTGAAAACCAGACCCCTTGTGTGGGTAGCAATGAGGGCTCTCCAAGAAATTGAATGCCCAGTGGGACAAATGGGTGTCAGTGAGGTGCAGTATAGTGGGCTATGTCTCAGGTGGCGTTCTGGGCCCCCCCATAAGTTCAGCAGACAGGAAGGCTTCCTGCCAGTGGAGTTGCTATGAGTTCAGGAAAACCCCTTGTTTCTCTCCCGAGGGGCTCACAGCTAGAGAATCACAAGTCACCTTGATAAGCTAAATCTGATCTTAAGAGAATCAGTTCCTTTCTGTGCTTTTTTTGTCCCCATAAGCATCTTCTAAGAAACTAGGCCCAGTGGCTCCTGAAAAGCTGAGCTCTCTAGGAGTTTATGGAAGACCAGAGCTCGAGAGAACATGAAAACATGGAAGGAAGGATGTAGGGAAGGCTAGACTGGTAGGGAGAGGGTGTGGGAGAGCTGAGGTGTTGGGGAGAGGGGAAGGGCTGGGCTTTTCTGTTTCTGGTAGACTTGGTATTTAGAGTAATTTCCACTCAGGTTCTTTTTTCCCTCATGGCATATATAGCCAAATTTTGTTGCATGGGGGCGGATTATGAGTTGTATTGTAAACAGTTTTACCACATTCTATTATTGTATATTGAAGAAATAAATGTCCCTTTAAAAATTTTCAAGTTTTCCAAAAGTAGAGAAAATTCTAGAAAGCTACTGTGTGATTGGAATGATTTCAGGATAGTGAAAGGTGAATGCTTGTTGAAGGAATATGAAGTAGCCCAGAGATAAGACCTAGTCTGTGGGTCATGTCCCTGAGGGCTGCTGCTTACCTTGGGTAGGGAGATGGTGCTAGCTCCTAAGACAGTCTCAGGACTCTGCTTTCCCTGTGAGCTGGTGAATCCACAGATAATTTTCCTACTTTTTTCTGTGATGGTTTGGATCATAAATGCCTCCTAAAGACCCATGTGTGGAATGTTTGTTGACCAGCCTGTAGTGTGATTTGGGAGAGAGTATGGAACCTTTAAGAGATGGGGTCATGGACTCATGAGATAGCTCAATGGGTAAAGGCACTTGCCTCCAAGCCTGAGGACCTGAGTTTGGTCTCTGGAACCCACATGGTAGAAGGAGAGAACTGATGCCCACAATTGTCCTCTGACCTCCATGTAATACACTGTGGCACGTAGGCAAGTGTGTACACACACACACACACACACACACACACAAATAAATAAATAAACAAATTAAATGTAATAAATTTTAAAACCATTTAAAATTTTATTCATGCATTTATTTATTTTATGTATGTGTTTTGTCTGTATGTATATAAGTGCACCCATGTGTGCAATGCCTGTGGAAGCCAAAAGAGGATATCAGATCTCCTGGAACTGGAGTTACAGATGGTTGTTAGCTTCCACATGAGTGCTGAGAACCAAACCCTGGTCCTCTGGAAGAGCAGCCCATGCTCTTAACTGCTGAGCCATCTCTCTAGCACCCATACATTTTTTAAAGATTTGGAGTTGTGGAAAGAAGTTAGGTCACTGGAGAGTGTGCCCTTGAATGGGGATATGGGGACCCTGGCCTCTTGTCTGCTTCCTGACATCAAGCAGCGAGCAGCTTTTCTCCACCATGTACTCCCTACCATGATGTTCTTGCCATAGGCCCAAAGCAGTGGACAAGTTGATCAGTCTGCATGGACTAGGACAGCCTGGGAGGAGGGTCTGTACACAGAAGGGTTCGGGCAGGCCAAGGTCTAGCCCTTGTGATGGAAGTGCAGTCAAATGATGAATATAACCTTTATGCAGGCTGCAGTACCTAGTAAACACCATATGAACTGTAACCTGAACTTACAGCTTAAGAGTGAGATGAGTGAGGACATGACTTGAGTTTTGACATTTTTGGTTCATAAAGGAATTCAAACCAGATATCATGATTCATGCCTGTAATTCTGACACTTGGGAGATTGAGGCAGGAGGATTGCCATGAGTTCCAGGCCAATCTAGGCTATAGAGTAAGATACTGTTTCCAAAAAGCGGGGGGGGGGGGGGGGGGGGGGAAATGTAGCTAAGTTGGTAATGTACTTGTTTAGAATGCATGAGACCAGAGTTTGATCCCCAGCACTCCATAAACTGAGAGTGGTAGCACATGACTATAATCCCAGCACTTGGGTAGTGGAGGCAGGATCAGGTCCTCTGTATAGTCTGGGCTACTTGAAAAAAAAAAAAAGTGGCGGGAGAGGGGGAAGAAAATAGAATTAAAGAGAAAGGAAAGAAAAATTAATACATTTAAGGTCAGCACATTGGTACCCTTGGTGATCCATGGTTGAAGGAGATGCTTCCTGTGAAATGAGAATGTGCCGTGAGATGCAGCAGGTCAGGATCAGGAGATGCACTGGTGCAGGCCACATGCCTGGCCCGAGGGGCTGTGCTCTTCAGGATTTTAAGCTTCCGGAAAGCTGAGGTAATGACTCATGGGGATGGTCCTGCTTACCTAGGCCCGGCAGTTGATTTACCTCCTACTTCTGCCTTTTCTTTATTCCCTGGAGGATGAGAATGCAGATTCCCTGTCCCCAGGGCAGAACCCCTTGGGCAAGTCTCAAAGTGCAGAGTTACAGTTTGTTTACGCTGCTATGGTGAATTCTTGTATTCATACCTTTTCAGGGATGGTGAGCTACTGTGACAGATACTGTGAAGGAATAAAACACGTCCTGAAGACTTTTGGGCCCATTCCAGAGTTCTCAAGAACCACAGTTGAGAAAGTTAACCAGGTATGTAGGCATGCACAGGAGCTGGCACATACTGGTCTGGGCTCACCCATGCTACCCGGGGTGTGGGGAGAGAGCTTTGTCGGGAGCTGCTGTTAGCAGCTTTATTCGACTTGTCTCTGAGCTCTCTCAAGATCCAGAACTTGTGTTGACTGGGGGCTTTCTGTGCGTCTTGTGTCTTTGAAAGCAGTGCACACACAGTTGGTGTAAATAGGAGAAACAGTTATATTCTTGGCAGAGTGTTTCTTCTTCATGTGCTCTTTGTTTTTCTCCCCCTTTCCTTCTCCCAGGACATGTGCATGAAGGTTCCTGATGACCCAGGCCACTTAGATGCTAGAAGGCAGTGGAGGGACGATTGTCTCATGAGACTTGCCCAGCTGAAGCGCCAGGTGCAGCCCCAGTAAATTTCCTGCAATGCCACTGTCACTCCTTCCTGGAAGTCCCATTTGGGGAGATTAAAAGCACTTGATACAATTCCTCTACAGCAGTGAGAAGCCTACGGTGCTGGCCTGAAGACCCAGGTTACTCTGTGTGTTTAGCCACAGGTGACTGTACACACCAAATGTCTTCCAGTCACTCTGGCCTCGCCCTAGATTGGGCTCTCATGGCACTTCTTGGGCTCTGAGATGTGGGTTTCCTGCCATCTTGGCAAATAGTCTGAAGGTTTTTGCCTTTTCTTTCCAGTGTGATTACACAAGGCTATGTCTCCAGCCATTGGCTGCAGTTTCTTGCTGTCTTAATCTACTTCAAAACTAATTTGTAATCATTTTATAATCCCTTTCTGAGTGCCCAGTGGTCCTACATTTCTGAGGCAATCACTTTCATTTCGCTAGTGCTTATTCTGAATAAAAGCTTTGATTCCACAAGGACAACCTTTTTCTTCTCCTCTTTCTGAGAATGAAGTATCCAATCTGATTGTCAATGTGCTTTGCAGTGACCACAAGGGATGGATAATAAGCTAATACTTTGTTCTGGGTCCTTTGTCATTCAATAAAAATCCACTAGATTGATGAGATGGCTCAGCAAGTAAGGATGCTTGCTGCCAAGTCTAATAACCTGAGTTCAATCCCTGGAACTCACCTGATGGAAAGAGAAAACTAACTCCTGAAAGTTGTCTTCTGACCTCCATACACACACACACATACACCCACACACGCACTGGTGTGTACACACACATACACACGAATAAAATTTAATTTCAATAAATAAATAAATAAATAAATAAATAAATCTACAAACAAAAAAATCCTCCAGTCTGGGCCAGTGCTTTTCACAGCTAGTTCAGTGGTGCCCTGTTTTCTGGTCAGATGTTTGAGAAGCATGGTGGACTGTCTAGCCCTTGAGATTCCCATGTTTTCACCAAATGAAAGGGTGGCGAGCTCTGCAGCAAAGACACCTGTTTAACCATCATTTCCTGTACCTTCTTCAACATGAAGTCTGTTCCTGTGCTAGCTTCCAGAACATTCTGTGGACATCAGTGCTGACACCACTCTGCAGTGACTGATTGCTGGATGCCACTTCAGAGCTCCTCAACAGCTCTGGACACACTGGTGCATAGGCCTTGCGGTTCTGGGTGGCCTGCATCCCAGCTTCTGAGAACTGCTTTTGCTCAGCTGTATGGCATTGGAAGCAGCGTCACTGATTAGGAGCCACGTGGAAGTGGTTGATTCCACTAGCATGCGATACAGTCTCAATAAGCACACTTCCATATCCTTGTATCCTTATACCACACACCACCTAGCTGGGGAATAGGAGGCACTACACACGTGGTCCCTATCTTGTTGAAATTACCATGAAGCAATATAGTGACCATGAAGCAGACTTGGTGCCCCTAGGTCTCACACACATGGAGGAGCATGGTAACCCATGGAGAGGCCCTTCAGAGGAGACTTCAAGGAGGTGGCTGTGGGCCTGGCACAGGTAGCAAGAGTCAGCCAGCTTCTCTAGTCAGGGGCAGAGCTTAGGGTGGGCCAAGCTAATTTGAGATGGGAGTGGCTCAGCTTGCTGACCAGGAAGGAGCCTTGGAGGGGAAGCCACACCCAGCCTGATAAGGAAGAGCCCTCTGGCTGTGCTAATGGTTAGACTTCCACCTGGGACCAGATTGGGTCAGGGTCTCACAGGATCACTCTGACAGCAGAGGAGACTAGACTGGAGGCAAGTCTGCCATGAAGCTGTGAAGCAGTGGGTTTGGAAAGCCTGTGGGTTGGAGATCCTTGGCATAGGTGCGAAAGGCCATACCTTCTGCAAGATCAGAAAGTGAGAAGAGGGCAGGGAATCTGAATGTCCCATGTTACTGGGAAAGAAAAACGTTACTGGGAAGATGATGTGACAAAATGTAAAGGAAGTGTCAGACCCTGTAAAGACTCTTCCTCTGTGCCTGATTGGATTTCAGATAGTGTAGCTCTGGTGACTCAGTCTATCGGTCTTCCTGACCTTGTTGCTTCACCCAACAGCAGGTGGCCCTTACATGTCTCCCGGCAGGTTCAGGCTCCTGCTGCTCTCCCCTTAACCAACTTCCCAGTCCTACTGCTGAGTCACTGCATTGTTCTCAGTGCTGCCTCCTTCCTGTGTGAGCCCATGAAGGTCATGCAGCCCCCACACCCATGCATGGGGCACCCACGAAAGGATGACTTAGCTAGGCGTGGGGCATAGGTGGACCAATGCCCAACACGATCCATTTGGCTCTTGGCATTGATAAGCCAGGAGAGTTCTGGAAGGATTGGACATGTGGGCTGCTGGGCCTGAGACTGCAGGGTGAGGCCCTAGGACAGCCAGGTGGGAGGACCCACTAGTCCCAGGCAGCAGCCCTGCCAGGGGACAGAAATGGGTACCACTTGGAAGTACATTGACTTTTATTATAAGTTTAAGTTCTGTTTTCCCACTTTGCTGTCAAGCCTTTCTGTCAGGCATGTTCTGAGATATTGTTGACTTCCCATATCTACAGGTTCAGAATCTGAGGAATTTAGCCAAATGAGGATCAAAAATATTTGGAAAAAATTTTCAGAAAGTTCTAAAAAGCAACATGTATAAATATTTTTCCTTGTCATTGTTGAAGCAACAGAGCACATAGCCATTTCCACAGCATTTACATTGTGTTAGCTGTCATGAATCATCTAGAGATGGCTTACAATATGCAGAAGGGTGTGTGCCATTTTATGTAAGGGACTTGAGCATCTGCAGATTTTGGTACCCACAGAGACCCTAGAACCAACCTCATAGATACTTAGGGATGATTCTATACAGTAGTAGTAAGGCTTCATGTTTGTATTTGTAGCCACCACAACACATAACGAAAAAGCAATGTGCTGTGCAAGAGCTGAAAATAAAATGAGACATTTCAAGCTTGAGAACAGTGAGGAGCTTGTGTACAGTTCTGAACCCAGCTTGAGGAAGATGATTCTGGAAGCAGCTAGAAATAATTAGGATCTGGCCTGACAGATGCAACTATAGGGAGAGGCAGGGATGAACCCACCTTCACACATACCCAAGGAACCATGTCGGTTAGAGAAACTGTCACACTGGCAAAGGACACACTCACTGGTGTGAACTTGTCAGGCTGGGCGCTGCTGCAAAGGAGCCTGGCTGCTCTGATGGTTCAGTGGTTACATCATTCCATGTGTCCTTTTTCCCATTTCAGAAGGACTGGCCACCAGGGTTGTTGGGTCCAAGGCTGCAGAGGGGAGGCCTCAGCGAAGGCCAGCCAGGATGTCATTTTACCCATCATTGCCCTGTCTGCCCAGTCTCATCTGGTCTGTGCCAGTTTCCTTAGTCTTGCCTTGCTTCTTGTGATTTTGACATTGCTGAAGAGCCCAGGCAGGTACCCTGGAGAATATCCCCAATGTGCGTTTGTCTGGTGTTTTTCTCACTAGTAGACTGGGATCTGGTTTGGTTAGATGAAGTTCCCTTCTCATCACATCATCCTAGGGGTCTGTGATGCCTAGGTGACATGGCTGGGCCTTCATTGATGGGCTTGTTGTGTTTCTCCATTCTGAATTACTATTGGAAAACGGAGTTAATTAGAAGGACCCGCCCAATCAGATATCGTCCTGACTCATTTTTGAATCATCTTTTCAGGACTGTAAAGCCATAAATCTCCATCCACATGGTGAATGTACTCAGTTCTTCTCACAATGATTTCCAAGTTTAGTGTCTTTCCAAAGCAACCATAGCATCTGTGTATACCAAATCCATGATTGCCCTGTCTGGGGGCCAACAGTGGAGTGCCTACAATTCTTATTTAGTTCTTACTTGAAGCTCAAATGTTGTAGTTGTTGCCTTGAATCATGATTTCATGTAGCCCAAACTGGACTTAAACTCCTGATTCTCCTGCTTCAGTCTTCTAAGTCCTGGGATTACAGGTGTGCCACCATGCCCATCTTTTTTTCTTTTCTAAAAGTCACAAAGTCTGTAATCCTAGCACTCCGGAACCTGAGACAGAAGGGTCACATGTGAAAACCTGTCTGAAAACAAACATAAAATCACAATCTACATCTGGGTCCAGCTTATTGGAATGAGAAAACAACCCTGTCCTTTGGAAGAGTGCCAATGACCTTAAAGACGCCACCAGAAGCTAGAAAGGGGCTCAGAGGTCTGATGCAGGTAATCTGCTGCTCTCGGGAGTAGCACCTCCTATACTGTGGCCACCATCACCAGACGCTAGTTTTTGGTATGTGTCACGAGCCTGACAGGCAATATCAGAAGCTTTGCTTTGTGCCTGGTTTGTAATGATTGCTGCACTGTCATGTCACATGCAGTGAAGGAACCAGTGGCCACGTATCCAGCTGAGTGGTGTGTGTTTGATTCCTGTAGATCTTGTCAGAGAATGGGCCCTTCCAGGGAAGTACATGAACGACCTAGATTGTCCCATTAGCAATCACAATTTGTTTCTACAGTTCCCAATCCCAATACTGCCTTGAATCTGTGTTCTCCTTCCAAGTGGCCAGTCAGGGAGCCAGGCCACTTAGGAACAAGTCATCAGTGACTTACAGTTGATGATGATACTGGAGTTTTCTCTTGCAGATCAAACTTGAAATGAAGGAGCCAGTTTTATGAATTTTCAATGGCTTCACTTAACATGTATCGAATATCTGCTATATACCAAGACTTGTTCCAAATGTTGAAGCTAGAGCAATGAACAAAGTAGGTAAGGAAAAGGAAAAGAAAGCCCTGCTCTCAGAAACCTTGCATATTGTAAACAATAGAAACATAAACAAATAGACAAATCAATCAGCAACATAGACATTAAGTCAGAAGATGATTAGTTATGTGGATAAAATAAAACAAGGCTTGGAGGTTGAGGTAGGAGACTCATGAGCTCTAGGTCAGCTTTGAAACTCTGTCTCAAAACTAACACAGGGGCTGGGAGGGTATCTTAGTGCTAGAGCCCTTGCCTAGCGTGCATGAGGCCCTCCTGGCATCCATCTGCAGCACCCTAGAACATTAAACAAAGGAAGATGTCTGTATGCACAAGCAATTTGAAAGAAATCATTAAGAAGAGAACAGGGGCTGGAGAGATGGCTCAGCAGTTAAGAACACTGGCTGCTCTTGCAGAGGACTCTGGTTCAGTTACCAGCACCCACATGATGGCTCATAACCACCTGTAACTCCAGTTCTAGGGGATATGTCCTTTTCTGGCCTCCATGGGTTCCTTCATACACATAGTACAGATGGCACACATAAACTCATATAGGCACACATACGTACACATAAGTAAAACTTTAAAAAAAGAACATTTGGCAAGTGATAAAACCATAGTAAGATATAGGGAAGAGTGCTACAGGGAAAGGAAACAAGGGCCCTGAGATGGGAACTGAGGTGGTGTGACCGAGGGGCAGCTGGGAGGGTCTACATGGCTGAGCAGCTGGAGGGAAGGAGGAAACAGAGAAAGAGGATAAGGGGGGACCTCGAGGCCCCTTCTGAAAGGATGGGGAAGCATGCTGATGGTAAGGGTTTCAGCATGGGCTGAAGATTAATGTCACAGAACTCTGGCTGGCTCTTAGAAGCCACAGAGCAC